ATAAATAAGAGAGTGTTCTTAATCACTTCCACCTTGGAACAAAGGCCTTCCTCCTATAAATTTCCTTGTTTTGTATCTACGTGGTCCATCGCCTGGATTCATTTTCCACACAAAAATATTCGAAAATATTGTAGAAAGTCGTTCAAAGTACTTTTTTTATTCACTAAAGAATGACACTTATAAAGTGAGACGATTCATTTGCAATATTTTGAAACCATTTTTTTCTTTGAAGCCGATATTACAAAGTTTCGCATCAACTTCATTTGAATATTCATCGCCCTGTAGTGCAAAGCCTTCCATCAATGATTTCAGTAATAACGTTGCAGGCAAAGAAAGCAACTATGACGAATCTGGAAGATCGAAAATATTTTCTACCAGCCAGTAATACAAGAAGATGGATATATTTTTTTCGGTATTGTTGAATGCCAATGACATAGACTAATGAGATTACGTACCTTAATTAATTGCAAGGTATCTATAGGCTGCTGCACTAATTCGTATCGTAATCTTAAGAAATATGTGAAGAGCTTGCACTTTTCAGATTTCGGTTGCGTAATGATACAAAAGGATTGAAGATAAAGAGTCAAACAAGGCATTTAGAAGAACATGCAACTAATCTAAGAACTTATAGCAGCTGCAGCTTGGGAATGAAAAATCAGCACTTCAGAGTGATTCGTTTTTCCTGTTTTCTCTGATTTTCTTCTCACAATTGGAGCCCATCCAACTGAGCTGAGGCATTTGCTCATAGCTATGGTTGTGGCATAGATTCTGTGCAATCATCTATTGAGAGCTGCAGATAAAACCAAATTTTTTGGGATGCGGCCTGAGATCATTGATGTTTCATTGGATGAACAGTAACAAGGTAGATAATAACTTGAGCCCTGCAACGCTAAAAAAGATGTAAGTCGCAGCCTTAATTGTTACAATCCGGATGAATGAGAATGTATTCTTGACGAGCAGTAGGTGACAGAAATAATCGGCCATCCTAATCTTAAGGTTGAAAGCTGTTCAAGTCATTAGCTTAGCATAATTGTGACCACATATGTCTATTGTGCAACTGCCCATTCTATTGTAGAACTTTGCAATAAAGCCCTAGGTTCTTATATAAAATTCTTGTAGATTGACATACTTGTCAAATTGGGGTAAGCATTTTACTTAGATTTTATTTTTGTTCTGAAAAAGAAAATACTCATGATTTGTGTTTAGCATGACCTGCGAAAAAGTTCTAAAAGCTGTATTTTTTCCGGAATTTTGTGTATATCTGTTTTCTAGGCGAACACATGAACAGCTCAAACGTTTCTCTTTCTTTATCAGCAAGTTACTGCAATACTCCCAGCCACGCGCGTGCCGTAGAAAACATGCAACAAGATTCTTTCATATGACACTTAATTCGCAGTTCAAAGACAAATGAGACTGATGTACTACACAGACAGGACTGAAACATGTGACAATTACAGGCGACTGAAGTACAAAGAACGACCTTGTTGACGTCAAAATTTTCTGGCCAGCCAGGGAAGTGGGAGCGCTCAGTAATAAAATAAAATAACTTGCAACCGTTGCCCTGCTTCATTTCCTGAAAACACTCTTATAGACAAAAGTATTGGCTCGTATCAATTTTAACATAGATTATTTATATTTTTTTCAAATATGATGCAATCAGGAAACTTACTCTCAGGCCTTCTGATCGCATATAATCCGTAAAATATGAGAAAGAGAGTTTCGGTGCGTTTCCAAACATGGCTACTTTGATATCTGAGCAGCGCTTGATACGAGTGGCTATTATCACTGGAAGTTTGCATGCGCGTGATTAACACCCTTATAAGAATAACACAGGAATATTTGGGCACATTTAAATAAACTACTACAACTCAGAAGTTCTT